GGCTCCAACCCACAAAGGACCACAAGTACCCAAATTCCTAGGTCCTGCTTTGTGACAGGGCGGAATGACAGTGGTCAACTTTCCAGCCAACAAAGTGATGTCAAATAATCAGTTTCTAGTGGGAAGTTAGCAGTAATTAGTACTCTCAAGTGCCTGGAAAAAGCCTTAAACACACAAAGGAAAAATATCTTGTAGGAAAAAAATAAGGCCCTTAGAACTAGCTGGACTTAGTATTAAGTCTACCCCTGTCAGTTTTTGTTGCGTGATTTTGAAAATGTCACTTATTTCTCTAAGTCTCACTTGCTGATCTGCAGGGTAGCAAAGAACAAGCATAAGACAAAGGGTCTATCCCCAGGCCTGACAAGCAAGGCACTCGGGAACGTTTACAATCAAGTACTCGGTCAGACAGCAGCATGGAGTTCTGACCCTGTGCCTAGTTGTTGCTCTACTAATGCTCCTTGCACAAGGAAATACTACAAAACAATGAGTCTTTACCTAATTCATAACAAATAAAACTGATTTAAAATAAGGTGATGGCTAAAATAACAGAAAAAAATGTATTAATGATATGCCAACAGAAAAGTCATAATTTCTTCAACAAAAATTCAGACCTACAGAGCTTGCACTGGGCAATTTGGGACTGACAGAAATAAGTGAAACAAAGCAAAACAGAAAGATATAAACCAACCATACAAGTTCAAAAGTTATCAGTAAAATGAATGTAGCAAATAGTGAACAAAGAATTCTAATCTCCACGGGTAACAAGTGACCATGATGAAAATAATTTCAATTAAAAACAAGGGAAACTGCTAAAATTAAGCATTTATGAACACAGATTCAAAGCATATCTGGCACCAACAAGGCATCCAGATCAAAACCATAATGTACTGATTTAATTAAGACAAACAGGAATAGGAAGACAAAACAGAGCAGAAGTTCCATTAGTGACAATCAAAAGTGCTTTTCTCTTTTGCTGAAAGAGATGATGTTGTTGACTTTCGTCACTTGGGGAGGTCAGGGGAGAGCTGGGCAGAGGAAACACTGACTCTACAGAGACAGAAAAGAGAACGGAACCACTGGCTCGACTGCTAACATCTGAGACTCTCTTCGATGGAAAAGAAGTTTTATTTTTTGACACTAGCTATGTAGTAATCTTCCTTAAGTATATGAAAGTTGTATATAATTATCAGGGATATAAGTAAAGTTAGAATCTACGTAAGAAAGAAGTTTTCCAGTGAGTGGTGTCTTCCCAATTCTCTGGTTTTAAAACATGTTAGAGGGGGAATGCAGATGTCCATCCTCATAACACGATTAGGAGAAAGCTTACTTTTGCGATTCATGTTGCAAAAAGAAACCTGTTGTCTGACATGGGTTTTGTAATGTCCTATGTCATCCCTTCTGTAAAGCCACATTCCTGGAAAGGATTCCAAAAGCAGCCATCATGCCGTGGTCTCAGGAGGGAGGTCACATGTTTGATGCAATACTAAGAGGTAGTCACCTTGCTGAGGCTGGCACAGGAGCTGTGAAAAACATGCTCACAACTCAGTGGCTACCCTCTGGTTTCTCTTCAGATTGCATAAATCTTTCGCCTTTTACAACTCAGTAGCTGGCCAAGTTATATCAACTCAGACCAGAATTCAGAAGCTGATTTCTGAGGGCTGAGCGACAAGAAGGAAAGCAGAGAGAACTAATGGCAACAAAGGGAGATATTATTTCTTTGAAGCCAATATTAAACGACAACAACAACAACAAAAAAATAATAGATATGAAATGAGAAGTGGAAGTGGACACAATGCAGAGCCGAAATAAAAAATTTGCTGTGCCAGGTGTGGTGGCATGCGCCTGTAATCCCAGCACTCAGGAGGCTGAGGCAGGAGGATGGCTGCAAGTTCAAGACCAGCCTGGGCTACATAGTGAGTTCCAGGTCAGTCTCAACTACATAGTGAGACCCTGTCTCAAAAAAAAAAAAAAATTTGCTGTGCATTCTTCCCAACATCTATCCACAAATGCCTAAGACATGGGGCCTGTTATCCTCTCGCATGACAGGTAACTTCCTTTTTAATTGCCCATCGGCTTCTCATCTTCTTCATCACTGGTGCTCCTCAGGTCAGCAGGATGCAAAATGTCTTATTACCTTTCCACGGATTTAAAAAACAAGACAAACACTCAAAGCCGACAAAGGAAAAGATTTCTTAAAGGCAGAAATGGGATTACAGGCTTGGTACCCTGACCAGCAGCTCTGTCTGAGCTCCCTTTGTGCACAGCCCTCTGTGGACAGTAACAGTCTGTGATCTTTTGGTGGCAAAAATCTTTCAGTAAAACTTTAGACTTTTTCCCCAGAAACATGCACAGAAACTCATTTCCTAATTAAGAGGCTTAAGGAGTTTCTCCACTCCACACAGGGCCCCAGAGCCAGGTCAGAGCACTCGGCTCCATGCAGCAAAGCGGGGCCGGCTGATCCCGGGCGAGAGGTGCAGTTCTGTCTTCCCTCGCCCTTTTTATCACTGGACTCGCCACTCTCTACAGGAACACTTCCCACAGGCCAAAAGTTGATTACTGTGGTCACTTGCACTTCCTTAAATTTCCCTTGTGTACACAGAGAAGCAAACAAAACATTCCCCCAAAGCAACATTAAAGGTCTGCTTTCAACCCACAAAACTACGAGAAAATGAAGATCTTTAGCCCAACCACCTACATAGAATCAAAGATAACCCAAATGGGTGTTTAGCTGATAGGCCAGCTTTTGATCCACTGTTTCCAATATGAAGTGGTAATTTTAATTCACTGCTTTCTCATCTCAGAGATCCAGAAACTACAGTAATAAGTACAGGCTTTCAGCTATCAAAATAAATTATACAGTAAGCCCTGTCAGTAGCAGCCTGCGACTCCAATACTGATTAGCTTACTAAAGGCAAGATGAATACGGGAAGAAGGATCCCAACCATGTGGGAGCAGGGTTCCCATTTGGGGAGACTCAGGCCTTGGAAAGCCCCTGATACAAATCCAGTCATGCAATAGAGCAAGATATCCAACAAAATGCATGATCCCTGCCAGTGGGCCTCCTTACAGACCTGGGGTGGAGGTACAGATGGGCAGGACTCCTGCCCTTTTATTTCTGCCCAAGTTACATATTCATGCTGCCCCTTAAGCTTCAAAAATAGTTTTCCAGGAGGAAAAGAAGAACTAGGAAACAAATGAGACATCTATCAAAAACCAAATGAGAGAGCATGAGGGAGAGACCCCCTGTCTTCACTAGTGCATTGCCAGGAAATGCTAGAGAAACCTGTACGAGGCGTCACCTGTCCCAGAGCTACAGTCTTAACAGTCTCTCCATTCTCAACCAGAAGGCCAAGCTCACAGATTTCCTAACAGCCAAAATGACCTGAAATGGGGTTTGCAGCTGTCCTCATCTCAGTACCAGGTCTCTCCTCCTCTATAGACTTTCACTTAAAGGACACTACTGGTGGCCTGGTAGCTCAGGTCTGTGACAAATATCCCAGACAACGTGATGTTCCATTTCTTATCTCCACCTGTCTTTTTCAGATGAAGATGATCATACTCTATCTTGATTCTCACATAAGCCTCTATAGCAAGGGCATTTCCATTCCAGGTTGAGAAAAGACTCTCAATAATCTGTGAGCATATTCATATTTCAAATTATAGTAAAGCCTAGGAATGCACAAACAGAAATTATACAACAAAGGAGACTTCTGACGTTAATTGGGATACGGTTAAAAAAATCTAATGAAGTCTTGAAACCAGGCGGTTACAATTAAATATTTAAGTGCATTTGTTTATATCAAGCCCAGAAGCAGAAGAGTGACAAAGAATCTGTGCCACCACCGTGCTGTTTTGTGTTGCCTGGCAGTGAAGGCTCAAGGGCATCATAAACGCTTCAAGGCAGAAACGTGGACACTCAGACTGTGAACCTGCGTTTAACTGTCTCTAAACTGTGCTTCTACTTTTCACTCTTCTTTCCAATGAAATTTTCTTTATTCTGAACCACAAGATGAACAGTACATTTTGGTCCAGTTCAGTAACACCACTGCCATCAAGACACTGATTTGGCACAGCATTATCATCTCCAGACAACAATTTGGAACAAAGGGACGAATCTCCAGCTTTCTCACCCTGCCACTAAGGATGCCGTGCAGTGCAGAAGTGCTGTCCAAGCCCACCTCTCCTTTGCACTGAGGTAAGTCCCTGGGCAGCTCCCAAAGTCTTTCTCGGCCTTTGCCAGCCCCGTGGCCCATGGGGCAAGTGTTCCATATGACCGAGCAGGGCGCACAGGGGCTTCCCCAAGCCCAGTGCACTCGCAAAACAACAATCTCTGCGTGAACAGCTGGTTGAGCTAAAAGGAAAGGAGAGGAAGCAGAGCTCTGCAGAGGCCTTTCACATGCTGTCAAACAGCAACTACTCTTCAGCTGCTCTCTCACCTTCTCCAGCTTCAAACAAAATCAGCTCCTCCCAGAAAAACAGCTGTGGACTAACAAAATGTCTCTAACTAAGATATCTGTGAACAAGCAGATCAACTAGGCTCAAGAGGCAGGAGAACTATCCTCCTGCCCTTTGGCTGTTGGATTCCGATGACCTGAAGGACCATGTAGCCACAGAAGGTTATATTTTCAGTCTGGACTCACCTCACGAGCTCTGTGGTGAATTTTAGGCCAGAGAAGACATGATTCAATTTCATGTTTTAAAAAGCAAGTTCCTTCTGGTGGCATGAAAGATGCTGTGGCATACAAGGGTCAAGAGATGGCTGCAGTGACCCAGAGGGAAGATGTACTGAACCTGGCTGAGGCGGTGGGAAGGGAGGGGAAGGAGGAACGGAGGCCTCGGAGGTGCTCACTGGCCCTGGTGACCGGCCATTGAAGAGGCGGGAAGGGGAGGCAAAGGCCACGAAGGCAGCTTCCTGTGCCCTGTGAAGCATCAAGGAAGTTCCCTGATGTAGAGGGCTTGTGGAGGTCAATCACAGTGGAATTTTCCCTCCATTTCCTTACCTTGGCAGCAGAGTTTGACACACCATGTGTAACATTTCTGATAAGGCCCCCGACATTTCCATACTTTATCAGTCCAGTAACTCCTTCAGAGACATCGTTCAAAAGCCCCATGGGATTGCCAAGAAAATCCACTGATCCCAGGATTCGAGCTGCCTGGCTGAGGAGCTCCTGCCAAATGGAGCACAGAAGAAAATCAAATTGGCACTAGTTTATAAATGCAGGTTTAGGCCAGAGCTGCAGTGGTGCAATCGGTTAGCATGCAGACCCAAGTAAAGAGGCTAGAAAGCTATCTTGTCCTCCATTCCCATTAGTTTCTAATTAACAGCTACTTAATAAATCTTCATCAGCTGCAAAAAAACCTGTGTTTTTCTTCATTTGCTCCACCTAAACCTCTCCCAATACATACACACCAGGGGCTGCATTTCAGTACACTTAGAAATACTCTCCAAAGCTATGTGGGAGAATAAAAATAGACATGGGATGGATAAGACTCTTCATATTTATTAGAATATTCACCATACTCTCTAACATCCCCACGGAGAACAGCAGCAGAGGGGGAGGGAGACTTTCAGATCCCTCCTCAGCTGTTTTCTCAGACCTCTCACTGCCTGATCCAGGCCCGAGTGATCTCTACAGTACATGCTTACTTAGGTAGAATATCACAACTAGGAAAGTCAAGGAGGAAAACAAGGGAGGTAGAAAAAGAAGCAAGAAGAGGACAAATTTTAATTTTGAAAGCTAATAAATTTGGTACAACCTTGACTAATCTATTCATGGGAGGAATATGCCTTGGCTTTGCATTTTGGTCTGTGCAGTCTGGACAATAAATACAAAATGGAGAATGTCCAACTTGGTTAAAAAAAAAAAATTTGCAAGTTCAACTCAAGGGCAAGATCTCACAGGCTCTAAGAACACTGGTGTGGTTGTTGAAAGTAGACCTAGGCCTGGTAAATAAAGAGTTCACAGTACTCTGTGTTATTATTAAGGCATCAATTAAACCATGAAGAGTTGTGACTAACCTAGTAGAAGTCTCTGAGAGCAGCTCTGAGGGACAGGACAAGCGGCTTGTAAATCAAATGTAATGTCTCATATTTTCTTGATATATATGAGCTTCATGGGATGTGACCCAGCAGAGTTCAACACTGCCCTGGCTTCTCGGGAGTGATGTCTTAGTAACCAAGATTCCCAAACAAGCAAAACAAACATCCTGTTTATGATCCAGCCACTAAGTGCTTCTCCAAAGCTCACCTCCTGGAAATGTTTGAGAATATCATTGATGATGAACTCCTTGGTCTCATAGGGATGGACTCGGGTGAACGGATCCAGATTAATCACAGCATCTTCAAACCGAATCAGTGGGAATCCCAAGGTGCTTTTTAGGGCCTAGTCCGGGAGAAAAGGAAATGACATACTTCAGCTGCGTGGATGTCTTCTAGGGCATTAGAATTCTGGATTCCGTGAACGCTAAAAGTCAGGTACGTAAGCGTCAAGGTTTTAATATTTATATATAAGGATTCTCCATATAATTAGAAAAGTAAAACATTAGGGGGAAAATATATATACACATACATCACACACATCACACATGTACACTGTGCAGACATTGAACAAGCGCCGTTGGCTTCATGGTTTAATTCCTTTCAGTCTACTCTGAACGTTGTCTTTGTCAGGTTTTATTCTTTGGCCAATGTGTGCCACCCAGGTCAGGGAGTCACTGTCTCTCGCTCAGAAGTACCCGACCACCATCCCCATGCAGACTCCCAGCTACCACTCTCTCCCTCCTTCAGGAATTGTGTCACCACAGATCAGCTTTTCCTGCTCTAAATTTCATACAAATCAAACTGTCAGTGTATACTTTGTTGTATTTGCTCCTTATAGACAACATCGGATACGTGAGATATATGAGGCTGATACACAGCCGCTGTTTATAAATTAATTGCTATAATTTTTTTTTTTTTTTAGTACCAGGGATTAAACTTGGGTCCTTGTGCTTGCAAGGCAGGCCACCGAACCGCTAAGCTAAATCCCCGGCCCTAAATTAATTGCTATATAATAATCCATTGCACAAATAAAACCCAATTTATTTAACCACTACTGCTGATGAAAACTCGAGTCAAGTTTCATTCTACTCCAAGTAATGTTGCTCTGAACATTCTTAGACATGTCGTTTGGGGGTGTATTTGAATGCATTTTTCTTGGGTAGATACGCAGAAGTAGAGCTGCTGGGTCCCAAGGAATGTATATCTTCAACCTCAGTGTAAACTGCCAGCATTTTATGAAGTGGCTTAACAAGTTTTTGCTTTTACCACAGTCTGCAAAATATCTTTATTCTACATTGCATCAACACTTGGCATAGACAGCTTTTTAAAACACATCTTCTGATAGGTGTGTAATGATCCTTAGGTGTGTGGTTTCAATGTCCATTTCCTGTTGAGAAATGAGACTAAATACATTTTGATAAGCAGATTGGCCATTTGGATACCTTTTTTATTCTGATACATTTATTCAAGCTTCTTGCTCATTTTTTGCAATGAGTTGTCTCCTCTTATGGCTATGTAAGACTTTTTCTCATATATACTGTATTCAAGTACTTTGTTGAATAAATGTATTGCAAATACCTTCTCTCATTCTGTGACTTGGGTTGTTACTCTTTAAATGGTGCCTTTAGTGATCAGATATGCTTCATTTTCAGAAATCCATCTTATCAGTCCTTTATGTTATGATAAAAGCATTGTGTTGTTAACTAAACCAAGGTCACAAAGATAGTCCCATATGTTTACCCATGAAAGTTTGTTTTACTCTTCGCACTTACATCTATAATATACACAGACTTGATTTTTATGTGTGACACAAAAGAGATCAATATTTTTTTGTTCCAATGGATTGATTGATTAGTATTTATTAAAAACATTAACTTTTTCTATGGCATAACAAGGTAGATTTTATCTTAAGTGATTATGCATCTGTTCCTGGGTTCCCTTTCTGTTTCATTTTGCTCTGCTTTCTAACCATATCAACTGTCTTAATTCCTGTATTCTGCAATGATTTTTTTAATCTCCTATCATAAGCTCTCCAACTTTGTTTCTTTCCTTCAGGACAATCTTGGCTACTCTTTGCACTTTCCGAATACACATAAATTTTAGAAAAGCCTGTTAATTTGCCACAAAATGTGGTGGAATTTTCATCAGGACTTTGAATCCATAGATAAACTTGATAAAAAATAACCTTATATTGTTGAGTCTTCCAATGTAGGAATATGGCATATCCCTTCGCCTATTTAGGTCTTCAATTTCACTCAACAAAATTTGTTTTTCTGTGTAAAGATCTCATACATTTGTCAGGTGTGGTGGTGCATGCCTATAATCCCAGCACTTGGGAGGCTGAGGTGGGAGGACTGCTGTGAGTTCGAGACCAGCCTGGGCTACACAGTGAGTTCCAAGTCAGTCTCAACTACATAGTGAAACCCTGTCTCAAAAAAAAGAAAAAAAAAAAAATCTCATACATCTTTTGTTCAATATATCTCTAAGTATCAGTGGTGGATGAAAAATGTCCACAAGTCCTTCTACAGAGAAGTGGGGTCTGTCTACTTCCCGTCTGCATGAATCTTCATGAGCCCTGTAACTTGCTTCAGTCAGCAGGATGCAGAAGAAGTAATACACAAGCTGAGTCTAGGCCTCAGGAGTCTTAGAGCTTCTCTGCCTGGCCCTCCACTCTGTGAAGAGGCCGAGACTAACTTCCTTGAAGACATGAGGCCGTGAGGAGGGAGATTCGGCTGACAGCCAGCAGTGACTATGTCATGTGTGAGTGACATCGTCTTAGCCCTCTCAGGGTGGGCTGAACGGCCAGATGATACAGTCACACGAGTAACCACGAGCCATCCCACTAAATCCTTCTCAAGTTACTGGCCCGTGGAACTGTGAGCATGGGAAATGGTTGCTCCAAACCACCAACTTTGGAGGATAACTTCTTGCATAGTAATAGTTAAGACATAGCATTTAATTTTTAAAATGTTACTGGAAATGACAGCCTTCAATTTTTTTCTCTATAATTATTCCTGATATGTAGAAATACAATTGATTTTATGTAAGTCACCAATAATCTTACCAAATTTACTTAATCATACTAATAACTACTTCTATATCCTTTTCCTTCCTTTTTCTCCCCTCCTCAAATCTTGATTGCCTAATTGCACAGGCCGGGATCTTGACTAGAACACTGACCAAAAGTGTGATGCCGGCACCCTTCTCTTGTGTCAAGGAAAAGCTTTTATTACCACAATGTATGATGGCGGCTACAATTCTTTCACAGACATACCTTACTGGGTTAAGGCAGCTCTCTTTGTAGCTTGCCGAGTTTTTATCATAAATGGATGCTGAACTTTGTTCAAATGCCTTTGGTTCATTTGAGATATTTTTTCTCTATCATTTTGTTACTTGCAAAAGTTAAACTAAATGTGCATTCCTGGAATAAACACAATTTGGTCATATTATCTTTGATATA